GCCGCGCCGCGCCAGCCGCCTGCCGACTCGCAGGCAGCCTGCAGTGCCAGCCGCTAGCACGTTCCCCTCCTCCCCTCACCCTCTGCCGTCCCGTCGCTGGCGCGGCTAGCTCGTCGCCCGGTGCGGGCCCGGCTCGGCTCGGCAGCTCTAGCTCCTCGCTCAGCTCGCTGCGTGTCCTAACCTGTGCCAGTGTTGTGATCAGTTTTACGTTTAATACATTGTGTTCGTTGTGTTTTGTGTTGTGTGGCGGGGACGGAGGACGGGATTTCGTCTCGTCATCATGGTGAGCAGTACGTGCTTGGCTGGTTGACTCACCGCGCTGACTTTGTTGTTTATTTGCGGTTTGTCGTTATAATAATATCGTGTGTCGGAATTCAAGCTAGGTTAGGAGTGTGCTCGTCCTCTTTTCAAATGTAGTCCGTTAGTCCGTTACTGTTTTCATTTATTTACTGAACGTTTTTTTTTTTTTTTTTTTTGCGCGCGTTTTGTTTTCCTATGCTGTGTGCTGTGCAGTGCCGTTGCTGTCCTCTGTCCTGTCCTGTGGTAACCCGTCACCATGCTCGTCTTCACTGTTGTCAGTTGCGTCTCATCTACAGGCTACATTTGGTGGTGTAGGTGGTGGTGGCACGGGTCAGCAGAAAGGTGTGAAAAGGAAAATAAGTGACTTTTTCGGCATATCGAAAAAGACTGTCAACAATGGTGATGGTGATGGTGTTGGTCTCGATGCCGAGGCTGAGTGCGACCGCGGCCGCGATGGCTCACTGGCACAAGCTGACGCTGAAGCCGCAGCCGCACCGGAACCGGAACAAGTAGTGGTGGCGGAGCCAGAAAGTGATCAGAGCACAAACGCTCCTTCTCGTAGAGGTATACATGTGCTGTGTGTGTGTGTTGTATGAAGTAAAGTAAAATAGACGAGTAAAGGGTCACTGGGTTGGGTCTAGGCTTTTTGTTTACGGTAATTAAAAACGAAACGGTTGCAAAGCCTTAATTTAACGTTTATTATTTACTTTCAGCAAATAATTCTGAGTTTTTGGTTGATGGCGGTAGTGGTGACGGCTCTTCTTGTACTTTCACTCCTGCTGCATGCACTGTCGATGCTGATGCGCCAGTTACTGCAGAGTCTGTTCGCTGGGCCAATTCTTATGATGTAGGGTTTTACAAAAAACAACCTGTACATGAATTAGACAAAAGTACTCTACAGAGGCTCCTTGAAAATCCGTGGGCTCCCCCTCAAGAGTACAAGTTCCCGTTTTCGAGTCACCAGAAGCAGGGAAAAGAAGAGCGACGTTTTGTCGGCCACCATCACCTTGCAAAGTATAATCGGTTAAGATTATCGGACATGGACAAAGGCCTTTACTGCAAATACTGTGCTTTTTTTGGCCACTCTGAGGGAGGCAAAAGTAAAGTCCAGCTAGGTAATTCAGTCAGCAAACCGCTTACAAAATTTTCAAAGTTGATGGGTGCCTCAAGCGACCTTGAAGACCACGCCAAACATTTGTAC